GAGATAATTTTGTAGACATCTTTGGCATATTTGGTACATATGTTCCATGCCTCAAGGCGNCTCCCTCTAAAATTTCAGAGACAAGTGCATAGAGACATCAAGAGGTATCGTGTTTCAGGGAGGCAAAAAAATCATCAGCCACGTGCAGTCGGCCAATCAGAAGGCTTGCACACAAAAACACATGAAATGTCATTAACACTCGGCAAGGAAAGCTTGTTTTTATAACTTTGTACGGGGTTCGTCGTAATGTACCTATTCGGTTGTTGCAAGTGATGGCGATGAGCATCTATTATTTATGGAAGCGTTCTGTTAACGAGTTGGAAACCCTGTTTTGTGTTGTTTGAGAAAAAAATAATTCACACGGAGTGTTTTCTAGAGGTTTTTAACTCAGAGCAACGGTCAATATGTAGAAAAAAACTCGTCTCTAGAATATAGTCTAGATATCAAGGAAACAGTAGAACTCTGGTTTATAGACAAGACAATCGTTAATGGTAATATCAGTAATATAAAAATTAATAATTGTGTCTTACGCCTAAGCACTGGGAAGAATGTAGGTGGCTAAGTAATACCTACCCTCTGAACTGATAATAATAATAATACTTTTTCCGTCTTTTCGATCATTTACATGATATAAGACATGTCATTAGTTAAAAAATATAAAAATTATATAAAACAATAATAACGGTCCACAGTATAACACACACAGTATAACACTTGTTTTTTAAATGGTATAATATGCAACGTATTGAATAATATTATGCCATTATATGCAAGTGATTCCTTGAATGTTGATGTTTTATGTTTTTGGATAGTTAATAAATGTTTATTTCGTGTTGCATAGTTATGAACTATTGATTCATCTCTCAGATTGAGTACATTATTTTTCACATGGAGCAGAGCTTTATATATATAGATACAAAGTAACGTTAGCATCTTGTTCTTGCAGAAAGCAGGTCTACAGCTATCCCTGGGTGCAATATTAAAGATAGTTCTAATTATTCTTTTTTGAACAATAAAAACACGTTTTGCCCCCACAGAAGAACCCCACATTAGTACATTTTGAGCCATATGTGAGTACGCCAATGAATAGTGAACAGTCCTGATACCATCTAAACTAAGCACGTCTTTGATCTGTCGTTTTGCAAATAACGCTTGATCGATATGGGGCTCCCAAGACAAGGTTTTATCTATAAACTATGAGGGGGTATTCGACAATGAAGAAAAAAAAGAAACAGTCTACAATTAACAATCAGACTAGCAATATAATTCAATGAAGCATGTGAGTTATTGTGCTAAGAAGGATAAAATTTTTGTTATTTTCAAAACAATGAATCAGAAACAATTTCGTGTTTTAATTTTACACTGCTTCTTGATGGGAAAAAATACCGTTCAAGCGAAGTAATGGCTTGAAAAGTGTTATAAGGACTTCGCTCCATCAGAAACAATTAAACATGGGTTTGCTGACTTCAAACGTGGTCATAGAGACGCCGATAATGCAGAACGCAGTGGAGGTCAAAATAAGGCAGTAACACCAGAAAACATTAAACAATCCCACAAAATAGTTTGGAATGATCGAAAAGTGAAGTTGCGTGAGTTAGCTGACATTGTCAAGATATCAAAAGAACGTGTTGGCTTTATATTGCATGAGCATTTGACTTTGAGAAAGCTCTGTACAAGGTGGGTGCTGCTCAAGCTAACTGTTGACCAAAAACAAGAACGTCTTTTTGACTCTACTCAAACTGCAGTTTGAGTAGAGCCATGTTCTTATGATAGTCAACATTGCAGTCCTCAAGTTTTTTTCCACATAATTTCAAAGAATTCAGAACCCATTCTTCACTTCCTCCGCAATGCACAATAGTTAGTCGCGATCCTTTGTTTGCAAGCATGTTAGGCGTACCCATTCTCGAACCATCAGTCCACCCTTTCGTAACTGTGTCATGAGTGTCATACCAAGTTTCGTCCAAATAGAAAATTTGTCGTTGTTCTTGTCTATATTTAGTTATTTGTTCTAAGTATCTGTTGGGCAATTCAACTATTCTTCTGCTTTCCATAACTGCTTGACGTTTGTTCATTATCTTGAATCTAAATCCTAGTTTCTTACCCAATTCTGAAGAGTTTTGTCACAGCAGTTCACGTTATGGCCAGAAGTATTCAATTTCTTCCTTATGATTTCAGTTGTAGGAATCTCATTGCAGTTCTATATTGTTTTTTTAATGATTTTATTGGATGAACATCTAAAGGATTTGGTAATCCCGTATCACATCGCGTCTTGCGTTCATAAGGTTTTTTCTTGACTATTTTACGTACAGTTGAGAAAGAAATTTCGGTCAAATCTGATGTTGCTTATAAAAGTTTGTTTCCCTCGAAACCAAACTTGAGATATATTCCTAGATGTATACATTGAAATATACTCTCTTTGTTTCAATATTCAAATGCATTGGAATCTTATTCACTGGTATCTCTTTTTCGCATTGTTCACCATCGCTATTGGAATCACTATACAAGAAAAAGTCTGCGTTGTAATCACACTCGTTTTCACTATTAGAACTTGTCAAAGGAATCCACATTTTAAACAGATAACAAAAATTGTAAGTAAATATAACTGCACCAATATCGAATTTCAACACTCAAATCGCGTTCAGTTCCTGACCTGAACATTGACAACACGCCGGGTATAAACATCCTCGCATTCCATTCGTAGCCGTAACATGACTTAAAATTTAATTTTATGACTCTTCAGCCAATAATAAAACTCGGTTAGTAAAAATTATTCAATACAAACCGCTAATTCTTCAGTCCACGTGGACTAATTGGCAGCAGCATCATTTCTTTGTATTGGTTTTTTTGGCCTTCGAGCCTGCCGATAGCTTTAACTATTCACAATACGGGTTACTTCGACTATACCAAAAATTGCGTAAGCAGCAGTCGGCACTGGTCAATAGACGAAGTACGTTCCTGCTCCACGACAACGCACGTCAGCACGTTTCACAAGTCACCGTGTGAAAATTAAACGAATTGAGCGCCATTCTTTAAACACTTCGATAACATTCTCACCGGAAGGACCAGGCGAAAACTGCCTTTGTCGACTTCATCGAATCCCGAGCAAACTATTTTTATACTGACGGAATTCATCAACTTGGTTGGTAAAGGTGCACTGGCCGATTCAAATGGCGTCTTATTTTAATCAAATTGAATATGTATTTACTGAGATATTACAGTTTAAAGAAAAACATTATTCCTGTTTCACACTATTTCTTTCAATGATACGACTATCAAACTTGCATATAATAATGAGTATTGACGACATTGTTTCCATTTTAAATAATAGATGTCCATCAATAAAATTCACAAATGAGTTAGAAAATAAAGGACAACTACCATTTCTTGACGTTTTGGTGATGAGGAGCAAAGATGGAGAGTTAGAATACGATATATTTAGAAAAGAAACAAGCACGTACAGGTATATTCCTGACAGTTCACATCACTGTGGACAGCACAAACGTGCCTTGTTGAATTTTTTAGTGCATCGTCTTTTGACTTTCCCTCTAACACATTATAGGTTTATAAAAGAAAGACGTACAATACAGGAAATAGCAGCCACTAACGGTTTCTCGAGGGATTGTAGATGACTTAATAAGGAAAAAGAAGTTTAGGTCAAGAATGAACTAAAACTCGACTTTCAGAAAGGACAAAAACCAAGATAAATACATCTCAGTTCCATACCACCAATATACGAGGAACTTTGGAAATATTTTCAAGTAATTAGGTACGAAGGTGCTTTTTAAAACAAGTCATACACTACAGAGCCTTTTGGGAAGTCCAAAAACAAAGTTGAGAATTCGGAAAAGTCTGGAATTTACGAAATTGAATGTAAGGACTGCGATGCGAAATATTATGGACAGACAAAAAGATCTATTGAAGTAAGATATAAGGAACACATAGCACACTTAAAATATGGAAGACCTGAAACAAAACCATTCCATAGACTTCAGTTCATTAAGATTAGTTAGACAAGTTAACAACAATGAGAGAGTGTAGAAATAAGTAAACACAATAATATTATGAATAACGATGACGGACCTATACCAAAGAGAATACTATATAGCTTGTTAAAATAAAATAAAATAATGTTGTTGGGTTTACCGATTACTACATAAGGACACATTGGAAATGACATAAACCACTCGAGATAGAAGCCGAGAAATGAGAATGAAACTGTTGAAGAAAGATATGGAAATGGCAATTAGAAATTTTTATGACGCATGAAAAACGGTTCTTCTGTAATTAATGGCATGCTTTTCGATAAAAGCTTTCAAAAAATTATTACACAGACCATATGGGTGTTGATAAGTTTTCGAGGTATCAACTGAAAAAAAGTGGAGGATTTGTGGATGGAATAAATGAAGAATCTACTGATTGATTCGGCCGTTACTTGATGAAGATCCATAGTAATTTCAAAAACTACACCTCATGATTTGATCTCAACAAACTTTATTTAAAAAATATATCACATGTTGTGATATATCATGATCAAATCGTGAGGTGTAGTTTTTGAAAAAAAAAAAAGAAAAAACATCTAAATAAGGAATTATTCAAATGAAGACGACCGAGTTTTCACAGTAATGGTTATTTGGAAATTTGCTTAGTTCAATTGAATTGCATTCAAGTCGTCCTTGTATCACTGATTATGTACAGGTAGAGTCGTATGTCTTGTCAGTTTCTTTCAAGCCTCTGGCGGAAAACATTGGACTTATTGTATAAAATAATGATACAGTGTGACCCATTTTCAATGGAAACACCCCCGGAAATTTGAAGTTGTAAATCGATTTCAATAATTTTTTTTTAAATGTCAAGTACTAAAAGGTCTACCTTGGGACAAAACCTTAAATGTTTTACACTTATTTAGTTACACCCTGTATTTTATGTGAGGGTTGTTATATGAGAGTTGTTTTATCAGATTTAATTCCTCATTAAAATTATCTATTGACGTTAGTGTAATAATGAGTCAATGGATCATACTGTGGTGAGCTGCTAATTTATGTTGCTATGGTTGATTAGAACAGTTGTTAATTGTTGTGTCTGTATGGGTTGGTTTTTGGTAAATTGTGAAATCATGTTTGTTTTTGTGATTGTGAGGTCTAAAAAATTTATCAAATCATTGTTTTCTAGTTTTATTGTGAATTCAAATTACTGTAATTGTTTATGTGTTCCTGTGAAAAAAGCTATGACATCGTCAACATAACTATACCAGTGAATAAATTTTTGAAAAATTGCAAACTGTTGCAGAGTTTTTTCTAAGTTGTCCATGAAAATTTCAGCTAGGAGGGGGCTTAGAGGGTTACCCATTATGATGCCTTCTTTGTTGTTATATAATCAAAACTTGCCAAAACTTCATTGTTTCCAAAAGGGGAGAACGTTTTCCTAAATAATAAAAGAACATAGGAGTAATTTTTTGAATGTAAAGACCAATTTCACATTTATAGACCATTTTTTGGCAGAGGGGGTTCAGCTACGACTATGAAGAATTACATTTGGCAGAGAAAGCTTTGAAACTCAATCTTTTGGAATACTTCGAAATTATTAGGTTCAATAATTCTGAAAATTTACTGAATGACCAAATATAATTGAATTCTTTCCCTGTTTTTGATGAGGAAATTGATAATCAGGTCATTACACGAAACACAAAATTATTATTTAAGATGCTGAATAACACATTGCCTGCCTGTACTCGATAAAAACTTCAGTTTTTTCATTAACTGAACGACTAGTGTAATGACAATTTCAAGAAAAACTATCACTCAAAACTGAAATCTGCTGTTCAATCCTCTCAAAAATCAACATAATTTTTTTTGATCCCCGAGAGAGATATTTTTCTTAAGTTTCTTCTTGAGGTTAGTTAACACCCCATCAATTTCACTCGCCACCTTCCAAACGGTAATCAAAACTATTAATAATAATCGCCCGAAACACTTGTCTTACAAGAATAACATTAACACGTGTTTATTCGTGAAACCTGAAAGCTCCGAAGACGGAGCGAACCCTGCCGAGTGACTTTTTGTCACTAGATCGGTTTCTTATGGGGTTTAAAAATATAACACATCAAGATGTCATCTCATTTCTGTTACGGTATTTTGATGGTATCAGTTTAAAACAAATATAGTGCGGGAATTAGTTTCTGGAGGCATTTAGCGTTAGTAGCAATTATGTAAAAGAAGCTTGATAAAAAAATATTTTTTTTTATTTTTGCGTTTCATAAGTGAGTGTTATTTGTTTTTTGTCGTTTAGGACGAAGGGGTGATTTGTTAACTAGAACGAAGGTAAGTGAAAATAACAATGTACTTTTTATTTAGTTTAAAAATATCAATTGTCTTTTTTTATTTGAGTATCGTTCTTGAGTTCAAAAAAAATGATGTGATGATTATTGGGTATTGAAATATTTATACAAAATATGTAATTAAAAAAAAACGCAAAAAAATTCAACGTGGCATTAATATACTAGTAATAATAATAATAATAATAATTTATTCTCCTCTT